GGGCCACGGGTCAATAGCCCATGAGGCGAAGCCGCATGGGCTATTGACCCGTAGCCCTTGCGGGCTACGGGTCTAATTGTTAATTATTATATCTCATGACTGTGTTTATTATAACTTCCCCTTTTCCCAATTCATTATTCCTACTTCTTACTACTTTGAAATGTTTATCAGACTTCTTCCCTTATGGTGTGTAAAATACACATATTCCCTCTAACCCATCGTTCAGCTCACATGTTCAAAACCGTCAATCAACTCATAATTTAGTGTTTCTTGTTTCCAACAGTTTGAAGACGCGGCCAAGCAGTTGAGAAAAGAGCGCCAGTACTTGGAAGCCAGCGAGTGTTACGAGATGATCAATGATTATCACCAGGCGGTGGAGGTGCTGTGTCAAGGCAACCTGTACAAGGAGGCTATTGACACCTTACAACGCTACAAGAGTCTGGTTGGCACTGGAGCCAGCAAGGGAGGAGGAATCCGTTCACCTAAAGAGTCTCGGACTGTGGAGCGACTGTGCCACCAGCTGGCGGAGGAGCACTACAGGTGGGGCTATAGTAAATGTCACTCTATCAGTGGAAATGCTACAGTGAGTTAGAAAATGTGTGTTGATTGGTCAAGCCAACAAGTCGAGGTCATTTTGTTCTACATACCAGGAGCAAAACTCCACATAGCTTAGACGTATTTTTCCCGTCCTTGGCACCAGGTTCATAAATTTGGGTCGAGTTTTGATTGGTTTTGTTCAAAATTGTTCCCTTCCTTTGAAGCGCCAAATATGACTATTTCGATGTTGTGGTAGTGAAACTCGTTGGAAAATTGCATTGTGCAAGTTCCCATTAGTGTTCTTAATTTCTTAATTTCGCGTGGTGCGACTTTCATCTTGTGAAAGAAAATGTGTCTAGGACGCCGTGGGCGTACTTTCACTCCAACTGAAGAAGGCCGCAGTTCGCGACTGAAACAGAGTGCGGTTTATCAATATTTTTTCCAAGCTTTGCGAACTTGTTCTGCATGGTTTTTCTGTATTTATTGTGGATAGTCAAAAACTGAACGTAAGAATTCATTCAATCACGACTTACGTACATTCCGTTTGTTACTTTGATTTCTTAGCTGCGGCCGTCTCGATGAAATGGTCTCAGTTCTCGAACGACTACCATCAGCTAGCGATCGAATTCTTTTTCTGGAGAATCACGGATGCGTTCAAGAAGCTTTGGAGGCTTTGATAGCGGAAGGCAGGTACAACGATGCTGGAAATCTCTTGAGGAAGAATGGCAGATTTATTGAGGCCGCCAAGTTTGTGCAGAGTAAGAGCTTTGTGGCCGAGTGCTTTCTCTCTGCTGCTCGCTGCGTTCAACTGACGCAGGTTTCCGTTGAGGAACATCGCGAGTTAATCGAAGGCCCAGTGGAACGAGCTATGGAACTGTTTGAAGATTGCAATGACGAGAACGGTCAAGCACAATGCCTACTGGTTCTGGCGAGGTTAAACGATGATGAAGAAGACGCGGAAAGTGCTCGAGAACTGTTTCACTCTGCGAACAATATTTGTGGTGAAGTCGACGCGTGTCTAGCACTCTTTGCTATATTACAGGAGGATATCTCACGTGGTGAAGTCTGTGATTTCCCCACTGTATTTCTTAGAGGTCTGGATAGATTGTTCAACCTTATTATGGCACTGAACAAGCCTCAAAACAGCGTGGCTGAACTTCAGCGAGTCGAGATGTGCGAGTCGTATTTCGGTGTTTTCAAGGGAGATAAATCAGATGTTAGATGCGCGTTCGTCAAGAGTGGTGGTCTGTTCGTCTCGTGCCTACCTTACAGCCAAGCTGAAGTCAAAGTCGACAAGGTGGTTCTTAACGTGGAAACAGCCCGGTGGCGGATTTCCAGCTACCTGTGCGACTTGGCTTCTAAGTTAGCACAGAATATTTGCCGAAGCGTAGAATCGAATGCAAGTTGTCAACGCATCTGTCGAAGGCCTCTCGTGGGTTTAAGTTGCACTTTAGGACATTGTAAGCTTGATCATGTTCCGTTCACAGAGGAGGTGTTTCAAGAGCTCTTCGACGCCTTGTGTCATCAAATGCATGTAGCCGCCCTTGTGCAATCGTTCGTTGACGCCATCGGTCGCTTTGATTCTCAAAGGCAGATTTCACAAACACTGCTAACTAATGATGTACGGGTGTTTCGAGCGTGTCGACAGCTTTACGATCTGCTCTTCCCCAAAATGGGCCAGCATGTTTCTTTTCTTTGCAAAGAGTACGTCCGCGTTCTTCGCAAGAACGGCGCGATCAGAGAACGGTTGTCGAGCTACGCGGAATTCTTATGGAAGAACACAAAGGACATTCACCGATGGCAGAACTCTGACAGATTTATGGAAGTTTCTCGGATCCTTCAACTGGCTGGGCACGCCGGTAAGGTTTCCTTGCTACTGACTGTGGAAGAAAAAGCCTTTGGAGCAAGAAATGGGTTTTGTGAGGGGATGCTCCCAGACAAGCAAGATGGAGGATTCCGCAGTTTATTCCGACTTTTGGAAGAAGGCAGGCGTGTACTTCACGTCTATGGCGATGTTATGAACTCTGCGTTCTTCTTTATTCGAAGATTCGTTAGTATAATCGCATGGAGGTCTTCCATTCCCATGCCTTCTCTGGCTAACGTCAGCACCATCTTTGAACGCCAGATGATCGCCTGCCTGACGCTCTTTGCTCGTCTGATAAACGACCACGGGTATCCCGTGTGCCTTCCCGAGAGCTACCTTAACCTGATCGACTTCTGGGATGCACTATACGGCACAGATAGGTTCCCTAACTTGATGGGTATCATTGAAGCTAGCGCCTCCCGAGTGCCACCTTTCAAAGGGATCTGCCAAGTTCAGCGGCTACTGGAGTACATGGTCCAGCTCTTGTCGGGACAGGTGAGTCGCCGCTTCAATTTAATAAACAGTGCTTTCAGTCTCAATGCAATGGATCGCGTGCTGTCCGGTGAATCGGAAAGAATCTTAGTCCTGGCCATGACCATCTTGTGTAACTACGCCAGAGGAATTCCTACAGCGCCGTGCGGCCGCCTTATCGGGTGTCTACGCGGCGTAACCGTGCATGCGTTTCTGCCAGATCGAGTACGGAAGGCGTTGGAGGCGTTGCAGTACGTGGAGAGTGTGAATGACGTGGTAATCGCACTACAGACATTACTTTCTGAGAGGAATGAAAGTCTGTTTTCTGTTCGTTGGTGCGACCGACAGTTGTTGACTGCCGAGGTGAATGCGAAGGTGAGTGCGGATTCGTCTCCGCTGGTGTTCAACGCTGGATCGGCTTCCTCGCATCCTCAGGCAGCAGATGTCGCAAGTGAGCCACCCGTGGATATCTACTCGCCATCGGAGTTTCAGATGCCAACTGGATACCTGGAGGAGCAGAAGAAGGAGCGGGCTCTAGAGAGAAAGCGTGAGGAGGCTGCTGTGAAAATCCAGCGCTGGTACCTTCAAATCAGGCGCGCGACATCCAAGTTCTCACCTCGAGCTGACGAAGTACAAGAGCAGCCTGCTTATTCAGCTGAAGCTCACTTTGCGCGTTTCAAGGTGGACAATTCGGCTTGTAGCGTATGTAGCGTGCACTTCAACGACGAGCGCGGCGAGAATTATGAATCGCACATTCGTTATCAAAGCGGTCACTGGCGGCAGCTGGAGGGGTTTAAAGCCTACAAGCAGCTTTATCTCAACAATATATGGCCGCTTTTCGTGGCGGAGAAGGAGCTTCGCGACGAATTGAACGCCTTGTCCGGGCAGGGAAGACTCGGTTCGCACGATTTTGGTCTTGATGTACAGCGGTTGGACCATGTAGGAGCACGCGTGGGAGATTGCATCCGGGATATTGAGTCCCATTGCAGGTGGTTTGATACGGACCGTTTGACGCGTGAAGTCGAGGCTTTAGGAACAACTATCAAGGAAGTACAGACTATTGTGAAACAAGGTAGGCTACCAATATTAATTCTCCAAACTATCAACCATTCCTCTCTCCTAGTCGTAAGCTTGAGAATTCAGTGGTACATCAAGAAAGAACGAACTCGATGAATTTGTGGTTGAGGATTAATACTTTTAAAAGGTAATGTCACATTCAATGATTTTCTGAAGTAGATTGTCGCTTTCGGAACTTTCGAATGGTGAAAAGTGTATGGTAATTTTCTTTGCGCCGAAGTCGTGCAAAGGAATGTCTTTCACCTCACAACGTTTTCTAAAATNTGCAGGTGGTTTGATACGGACCGTTTGACGCGTGAAGTCGAGGCTTTAGAAACAACTATCAAGGAAGTACAGACTATTGTGAAACAAGGTAAGCGACCAATATTAATTCTCCAAACTATCAACCATTCCTCTCTCCTTGTCGTTCCTCCATTCCTCTCTCCTAATCTTGAGAATTCAGTGGTACATCAAGAAGGAACGAACTGGATGAATTTGTGGTTGAGGATTAATACTTTTAAAAGGTAATGTCACATTCGATGATTTTCTGAAGTAGATTGTCGCTTTCGGAACTTTCGAATGGTGAAAACTGTATGGTAATTTTCTTTGCGCCGAAGTCGTGCAAAGGAATGTCTTTCACCTCACAACGTTTTCTAAAATGGCTTAGAAGTTGCAGCTGAGATCGCCGAAGTGTCTTAAGAAAATACGAAGAAAGCGTGAACTTAAAAATAGACTTAAATACCAGGGTGGTGGAAGGGGCACTATATATATATGGAAGCCGTTCAAAGTACTCGATTGCGAGCGGTCTCTACTCGTCAAAGAGAGGTTTATAGCGGAATACTGGTCAGGGTTTACGGAAATGGGGCCCGTTTCTCGAAGGTCCCGAAAAGTTTTCGCACCCGGAAAGCCAGAGCAAAAGCTCAATACCTTAACCCGAACCTAACCCTAACCGTAACCCTATAGAGCTGTTTTATTTACACATTCTTAGCATGAACAGAGGTTCCCTTCGCACAAGAAGTTTTAGGTGTATATACTTCTCCGTTTTTAGATACAGATAAGCTAAAAATGGCTTTACTGGCCCGAAAAGTTTCCGGGGCTTTCGAGAAACGGGCCCTTGGCCTTTGAATGACAGCGGGGCTGGAGGTGATATTGTTTTGATAAAGACCTCACTGTTTTGTTGTGTAAATCAAGTTGTTCTTATGCTAACTAGTTGGCATTTACATGAGAAAAGGAGAGAGGTCTGCATCAAAGCAAGGTCACCTCCAGCCTTGCTGGCAAGTCATAGACCAGGTGCTAAGCACAACTGTAAAATGGCCTATTGTTCGTCTAACAGATTTTCGCGTGTTTTTTCTGTTTCCTGTTCGTAGATCTTCAAAAGATGCGAGAAGCAGGTGTCATGGCGGAAAGACGGGACGAGTTTGAAGAGAACGAAGATTTCGGTGATGAGGAAGACATCTTGGACCTGCGCATGCCTAAAGACAGTGGAGCAAATCGAGGGACTGGGGCAAAGCAGACTGGGAAGAAGAGAAACCGAGGGAGACGGGGGCGAGACAAGACGCGGTTCAGACAGTCCTGAATTTACAGTTTCATTATTTATTGTTGCTGCTCTGTCTTAAGCGTTAGCAATTTTACTTTAGGTCGACGTGTATTACGTTCTTGTTAAGCCCGAGCCCATTTAAGACAGTTCAAAGAATTTTCAAGATCCGGGAATCGTTCCTGTGGGTCGTGCTATGTTACGAAGATCTTTAATTACATGTTTTGGTTGTTTAGTTCTAAGTTGCTGGAAATTCAACCAAGAACTTGAAATACTCTGGATGGGAAAGCCATGACTTTGTGCTACTTACAGACGTGGGATTCGTTTAGCTGTCATTGGACTTGCGTTCCAGGTTTATTTTTTTCCCTCGTAGCATCACCTGTCTCGATTACTTTAAAGGCAAATGTTAATGTTTGGCAATTTGTCATATGATGGTTATCGGCATTTTTTTTAAGTTCGAGTTGGTTACATGGAGACTGTTATAGGAAGTGGTTTCTCCAGTGGACGCAATAGCGTTTGTCTGATTCAAGTTTTGTTGGCGAAGAAAACAAATAAAATTTAAGTTTACTTTCACTTTGCCATGTGCCATTCCTTACTGTGTGCAGTAGAAGCATAAAACTATGGCACCGAAAAATGGAAAAATTTGTCTTTAACTTACTTAATTTTTTTTGGGCATTTTTTTTTTATTAATTTATTTGTTTTGTTTTAGTTTATTTTATTTTATTTTATTTTATTTTACCACAACTCTGCGATTTCTTCGTTATATTTGGATATTCCGTACTTTGTGGCAAGCCATGGATGATAGTTTCCGACAGTGAAGGTGAAATACAGAAATTTCTTGTCTTCGTGGAAGGCTGGGGGGAAGCAGAGCTATAAACCTAAGCCACTTGGGCCTAAAAGGCTTCACCTTTCATGTCTCCGCCCTGACTTGTGTTAAGTTTTAAATTCATAGCAAAAAGAGGCACTTCCGCGTTCGATTCTTTAAGCCTAACGGCTTTGAGAACGGACTCGT